GCTGATTTCCTCAATGTGTGACCTATCCACTTCCAGCACTTCTTTCTGATTTCTTCCTTCGCTAAAATATTGTTTGTTCTCTCCCATAGTGGGTTGTTGCTGATAGTATCTGGCCAATGGATCCGAAGTATTTTGCGTAGACAATTGTTAATAAACACTTGTGTCTTTTAGATGATGGGTTTCGTAGTTCTCCTAGTTTCCACCCCATTCATTAGAACTGTGTTGAAAATTCCAACTTTGGTGTTGATCGACAGTTTTTTTAGTTTCAGATGTTTTCCAGTCGTAAATATGCTACCCTTGCTCTTGTTTATTAGGGAGTTAATTTTCTACGGGATGGCGTCGCTAACCCAATGCTCAACCCTCCTACTTTATCCGGGCTTAGGACCGGCAGTAGCCTCAGAAGTGCTCCAGGAGGAGTTAGAATTAATGTTTATAATGTTATCCTTTGAAAGTATGCAACTTCATCTAACTAAAATCTTCATACGAATTGACATTACTGATTTACAAATATATACTTATAATCATGTTATTTTCTGAAGGAAAACAACTATTCTGAACTGACGTATTCCATAGTGGGATCATATCACTCATTAGTACTTTTAAAATCATAGAATTCTTATTCAGATACAGTGTAAGCAAATATTCATAGTTTACATTTGACGCTGGAAGCCAAAATGTGTACAACAGTTTGAATATGATGGCCGATCTTCCTTAACTCAAATAATAATTATAAAATATATGAGCGAACTATCGTGGTGGGATTTTGAACTGTACTCAAATATCGAAGCAATTCTACCTAAAAATCGAAAGCAATTCGTCCTTTTGATAAATTTCGTATAATGTAATAAGAAGACAAAGATTATCAGAACTATGTGATGATATATTAGTGCAATATTTTTTGAACAATCTGATTACACATTCTATATTTGGTAAGAACTAGTCTAGACTAGAAATGGAGGGTAGGAGGAGACAAGGATGAGAAAGAAATAATGTGAAAACGATTTGGATTATTAGCTAATATTACCAGGGTAGGTTTAATTTGAGAACAAACTGTTTTTTGATTGCACAAAGGGAGTTTGGATTTTCGTATGGCTAAGGCTTCTATAAACCTTAGTATACGCCCTTTTACACTTTTGTACAACACCACAAAAGCCGAGTTAAGATCAATGTTATGGCCTGTTTCAATCACATGTTTAGCAGTAGAGGATGATAGATATTTATCCTCTACTCTTATTAGGTCATTTGGTTCTACCTAAAAACCCTAATTAAGTTATACTGACTCACTAAATTCTGTCTTGTAATCATTAGTATTCAAAATATTGTGTATACGATTATCGAACCTATTAAAATCATTTCCCTCTCTTATATGAGTTCCACTTCACTTGGCTAAATTGTTCTGGTTTCCTTTTTATTTGTTCTGTTCTGATCACATAGATGATCGGTTGATTGATCAAGTGTAGCCATATTGACATCTAAAACTGGGCAAACCTATCAAACTACTTATACTTTAATAAGTAGTGTAACTTTTCCAGAATAATTTTAGGCTGACGATGGTCATGTTTCTGCAACCCTGGTAATACATTTTGATTGTATCACCGTAAATACTACAGATATGGTGATTATTCTAAGTTTTATTGAAATATATGTGCGACTAGTTCAGGGTTACACTTTTTTACTGTAAAATAACTATCGATTTGATAACGAATCAATTCTATGTATGATCTTATTAGTTTAAATATATGGAGGAAATTTAGTTCTAACTGAATGTCGAAATTTTATGACTTTTATTATTTGAAAGGCAATTTCTCAAGAGATTATTGGTATTGTTTCATTAGATCGTTGAAATAAACGTTGTGGCATATCGATTATTCTATTTCCGAAAGTTTCATACACAAAATTAATGACAACAAAAGGAATCACAACTACTAGACCAATGAATAGAGAACTTATTTTGAAACAGTCTTTTATTTCACTTGAGCGGTTGTTGCTTGCTAAGGTTTACCTTTTCTTATGCATACTTATTATATGTAAAAATCATATGTGTTTCTTTGACTGCTTCGTACCATGAAACGGTAGCAAATCAACTCCTCATAAGCTCTCAGTTGTCTCAAGAGTTGCGCTTTCATCGAAAATTCTACACCAAGAAACAACTATCTGAAAATTATATCAGTTTTACTATTTGAGGAAGACATGGGCAGAAACAACGCTGACTAAAACTAATATTGCTGAACCAAATACATTACTTATATGGATCCGATCATGAGTACTTCATTGGACGAGTAAAATGGCGCTTTAGATTGTTGGGAAAAGGGTACAGGTGGATGGTTGGGAGTAGGACGTTTTGACATAATTTCACATCCTGAAAAGAAATATTCCCGTTTGAAAAATGTTATTCATTTCGCTAGTGTTTTATTATTAATTTTCTTAAGTTGTTTCACATCATCCCTTACATTAAAGTGATAATATTAGTGTGGTAACTCTACGCTAACGATTGTCCAACAAAGTATATCGGTCATACAATGTAAAGGGTTAGAAATATAGCGGTTATTATTATTACTATTATGGTCACTGATTGTAAAAAATAGAATTCTTAGCATAAATTATTTCAAGAAGTTCCCGTTTCTTATTTCTTGATTGAGATCTTGAATTGATCGATGTTAGACAACCATTGAAGACCTAGAAGCACTGCACAGCCAACTTGTCCTATTGTGGAACTGCTCAGCAGTGTGAATCCACGATCCCACCTTGCGGGATTCGAACCCCAGGACCTATATATGCAATTGCCAAGTTTCAACTTAATCAATATAACTGACATACTATAGTGAACAAGAACACGTATGAGGGAAATCTAATGTATTCATACACAAAATTACAGAACACCTTACTAAAATCTGAGAACCATACAGTAACACTTCATCTACAAAATATCAATCCATTGTCTCAAACTTGACTGTTCCTTTTGCAATATCACTCCGTCGTGTGAGATTTCATTGTTCCTGCTTTTTCATACTAATTACTTTCTGTTCCCATTCTTTCCCTCTCAATCTTCTACTGAAATACCTTATATTCCTGACTATCGTTATATACTACTGATGTGAATATAAGTAACTTATACCACAATAACATCCTTCACTCTTAAAGCCATTATGCTTTAGGTGTACTTGATTTAAACAAAAAACGGTCTCTATAACTTTTTCATATGAATTATTTACTAAATATGACCATTGAAATCATCAAAACACCATTGATAGTAATTAACATTTATTCACTACTCCATACTGATACATGCTGTTCAAACAATCAACCAACAACAACAATAATAAAAGAAAAACAATAAAAGAACTTCATATTTAATAAGAGATAGATTAAAAAAGAAACCCATAGTTAATGTTGGTTTATGGTAACAAAAAGTGTATTGTTCATTGCTTGATTGATCTACGCCTATTCTGTAAAAGAAATAACAATGAAGAGAATGATGAAATACAATTAATGAATAATGACGTTAAAATGTCTGTAGATTGAATGTTTTAATTTCTAAGACTAATTGTGAACTAGTAAAAATAATTGTTGTTGTTATTAACATTTTGAGTCAATTGAAGCTAGACCACTATTGAAAACTTAGAAGCACTGAATGACCGTTTCGTCCTATTGTGGGACTCCTCAACAGTATGCATCCATGTTCCCTCCTCGCGAGACAATTCCTGAATCTGAATTGTTATATTAAATATAGATGAATGGATTAAATTAGTATCTTGTGTAAATTACTCATAAATACTGTTTATTATAGATACATGTAATATGATGCAATGCAGTCTAATGTAAGGTGAGACTCTGTAGTAATGAATGTGAGACATTAAGCGTTCGCACACGAGACCAAATGTTCAGGGTTCGAATCTCGCGAAGCGGGACTATGGATGCGCACTGCTGAGGAATCCCACAATAGGACGAAAGGGCTGTCCAGTGCTTACAGGTTTTCAATGGTGATTTAGCATCAATCGATTGATGATCTTAATCAAAAGCTTAACAATCTTCACAACCTCATACAGATTTTGAATTGTTGGTAAGTACGCTGTCATAGTAACTCCTCCTGGAGCCCCTTTATGGCTACTGCCTGTCCCAATCCCGGATTAAGGAGAAGGGTTGAGCATAGGGTTAGTGATCTCATCCCGCAGAAAACTAACTCGTTAAAAAAGCTTTGTTATAGATAGATATACTTTTCAGGGCATTTTATAAAAAGATTAATACGGATCATTAAAATCAAAGTTCATGTAAACCAGGAGATAAACGAGAGAGAAAAAAATTACACCGTATAGTAAGAATCAGAAATTATCTCATTATCCTAGACCATAAAATGACTTAAGGATTATCAAGTTAAATTCAAGGTTATCATAAATTGTTTTCGTACATATAAGGGGGGGGGTTAAATTTGCAAATAACCAAGCCTTCAATAAACTTAAGAAATCATTCTGAGAATTTCTATACAACGTTTAAAAGGCTGTTTTCATATCAATTCTATCCCCTGTTAGTTGATTAACTGAACGGTTAACTTAAGTGAACAATCAGATCGCACAGGTTTTTGATGAATTTAAGGACTTATAACATTAGAGACTTCTGAACACATAAAAAATGTCAGTAGGGTTTCTTGTGGATATTATAGTAATTTCAGTAGTTGAGATCATGATCCAATTGAAGCTGGGCCAATACTGAAAACATAGAAGCACTGGCTGGCTAATTCATTCTATATTGAGACTTCTCAGTGTTGCGCATCCACATTAACACGGTTGGATACCAGCTCAGTGGTCTAAAGGTTAAATGATTGCGCGCAAGACTGGTAGGTCTCAGGTTTGAATCTCACGAGTCAGGATCGTGGATGGGCACTTCTTAGGAGTCCCATAATATAAAAAAATAGTTCTAAGGTTACTATTCATGATGCATTAGTCTAATAATGAAATATAAGTGAAAAAATAGAATCAAATATTAATATAGTTCTACTGATTTACCCTACAAACAGTATTAGGATCAGGGCAGACAATTTGGCCTTGAATTTGATTAGTTTGAACTGTAGCTACCCCTGAATTACATGGGAATGGTTTACCATTAATAATCACTTGTAGACCACCAGAGCATGAATACTGAAATGAATAAATAGGAAGAAATATTAGTGATCAATAAGGAAGTAAACACATCGATCTAAGCAACAATGCACAATGATATAAGTAGTTAAACAATTTACATCTAGTGTTGACATTGACGTTTATGTTGAAACACTATTTATTTCAATAGTCGAGATTATGAATCATTTGAAGTTAGATCAACATGGAAAATCTGAAAGCACTGAACGGTCAAGTGGTCCTATTGTGGGATTCTTCAGCAGAGCGCATCCACGATCCCGCCTAGCAAGATTCCAATCCAGGACCTATCAGTCTCGTATGCGAACGTTTAACCTCTACACAACTGAGTCGGCCAGCATCCAATAGTGTTAATGTTTAACTTCAACTAATCCATGAAATTGAGCGGCACATCCACCATTGTCTCCAGTGAGTTACTATCTGACAACAGACCCGGATGAACTCCACTGATCAGTACTTTCACTAAAACTCCAGGAAATACCGTCCAGTGCTTTCAGATTTTCCATGGTGATCTAGTTTCAACTGAATCATGATTTGAACTATTTAAATTAATTAAATATTATTCACTGTTGTGTTCTAAATCTTACTATCATTCTTTGAAAGTATAAATGATAATTGCCATGGTTACTATCTGCGAGAATGTATCAACAAATCTAATTTGAAATGACGTAATCATTGATATGTGATGACTAATATAGATTGTTTATCCTTTAATATATATTCATAAAAAGCTTACATATATGATTATGAAAAGAAATTTGAATATTCAGATTGTTATGTAATAAAATATAATATACTTGTCATAAGATTACCTGATGGCAGGTGGCTTTAACTCGAGGATCATTTGTTGCTCTTCCATTCATTTCAGCTCTCCATGCTCCTTTATGCATAATACATAATGAATTATTTCCAAAATCTTGTGCAAACATATTTCCTTTTTGAGCTACCAAAATAGAAATTATAAAACTTATTTATTCATTAGCAATGTATGTGATATGTTCTAGGATTTATGCTATAGATGAACTTGTCTTTTGAATATGTTAAAATACTACAATGGATGGAGATTTCAGTGGTGTTACAGTTGTGTCCAGAAAATTCCTTGTAAAAAAAGCCAAAAAGATGGCTCTGAAAACACTACTTACTTACTTACTTACGCCTGTTACTCCCAATAGAGTATAGGCCGCCGACAAGCATTCTCCAACCCACTCTGTCTTCTGCCTTCTTTTCAAATTCCATCCAATTCTTGTTAATTTTTCCCATGTCTATCTCCATTTCCCGGCGTAATGTGTTCTTTGGTCTTCCTCTTTTTCTTCGACCTTGAAAATGTCAAGTGAGGAATTGCCTTATGATGCGACTGGGTGACTTTCTCAATGTGTGTCCTATCCACTTCCAGCCCTTCTTCCTGATTTCTTTCTCCTCTGGGATCTGGTTTGTTCTTTCCCACAGTTGGTTGTTGCTAATAGTGTCCGGCCAACGGATCCGAAGTATACTGCGTAGACAACTATTAATAAACATCTGTATCTTCTGGATAATGGCTTTCGTATTTCTCCAGGTTTCTGCCCCATACAGTAGAAATGTATTGAGATCTGTATTGAAAACCCTGATCTTGGTGTTGGTTGACAGCTGCTTTTAGTTCCAGATGTTTCTAAGTTGCAAATATGCTGCTCTTGCTTTGCTGATCCGCGCCTTCACATCTGCATCAGATCCACCGTTTTCACCAATGATGCTGCCTAGATATGTAAAGGTGTTTACATCTTCCAAATCTTCTCCGTCAATCGTGATTGGATTGGTGCATGCTGTGTTGTATCGGAGAATCTTGCTTTTCCCTTTGTGTATATTGAGACCTACTGCTGCTGAGGCTGCTGCCTGAAAACACTAAGAATCATCTTATCCAATCAACATTCAATAGAACGTTTTCTAGTAACATATAGAAAGTGATTAGTCACGTGTCGCGTTTCTGTTTGGATGATTACCTATACTGCTTTGTTTAGTACCATTCTAGAAATTTCCGGAAAATCGAGGTAATCTAAAATGCTATAAATACCCTAGATTTTCTGTACATAAAACGCTTCTCTCTTATTTCGCATCTTTTCTCACGTGTTCAAGTCGTTGTGTAGACTTAGCTTGACGGTTACTAGAAGAGCTTAAGAACCGAATCTAATGTTCAATTAGAAGACCTATCACTATTGAACCTTATATTGAAATGGTAGACCCAAATGCTCTAGTACGGCTTAGAGTGTGGAGAGCCAGCTCTCCTTCTCCAAATGCTCTCACATAGCTGCACGTATACAGCCATTGCCAAGAAAGTCCTACTCAATGCCTTCTCGCACCACCGGTATTGTTTACGAAATTGAGAGGACGAAAAGCGAATACATGGCGCTTTAACCGGGTTAATGAACACGGAGAGTCCACCTAGGAGAGTTGAGAAACCCTGATTTTAAACAGATAGTGCACATTCTCTCCAGGATCCTAAGGAAACATGGCGTATGAACCAATTATTAGTCACCGACTACCATAAGACTGCATCTCCTTACGTTCCTCCACTGTCTTGTGGATCAGGCTTTTATATCAAAGGCTTTGGGTATGGCCGCCCAAGGAAATCACCTGCTTCGGTTTGGGCACCCGGACAGTATCCCAGCCCTCACATAAATCGAATGATTTATGTGGCGCATATTTATTCGGTGCCCCTTTGTACCATTGTCTATGTATTTAAATAAATAAATCGAAACGGGTGATGTAAATGTTCTTTAAAAGTTTTACTCAGGCTAAATTACTAGTTAATTCATCTTTATATTCAGTGAAATGTTACATCTATTTTGTCATATGAATCCTTTATTCTGAATTTATTCTTGATAAATACTATCGATAACTAGAATTAGTTCTATTTGAATAGTCATTGATTACTTACTGGTTTACATTAAAAATCTGCAAGTTACCTAATTACTTACCGACAGGAATATTAAGCTGATGATCACAGTATGTTACAATTGGTTCATTGAAAAAGGATCGCATAGGCTGTATTTTTTTTAAAGGACAAAAGAAAAAAGTATGAAAGTGTTTCAATAGATTGATTCCACAAAGTTTGTTCCAGAATACAATCCAATATACACTTGAATAAACAGTAACTAGAGCAATCTGATCTAACTAACTATAGGATGAATCTTATCACTCAACTAATGAATTGGTTTCTTTGAAGGGATTTACTGGATGTTTGTTGAATTAGGGAGTTCTATTCGTCATACATTTTTCTCAGTTAGAGTCAACTTAAGGACCAAGGAACGTTACTCAGATGTCTCTTTTTGGTATGGGATTTCAGTGGAGTAGACTAACACTAACTCAACATAAATCCAAAATAGGACTTTAAGAAGAATGTTTAACTATTAGAACTACTGGGCGGAGGTTCAGCGTTACAATTCATACCTCATTGTACAATGCTGCGGAGTCTCATACTAGAATGAATCAGTTATTTTATACCTACTAATTTTCACTAATACACCAACTGAGATTATTTTGTGATGAACATAAACTATCAGCTTGTTTCCACTCGATCATTGTGATTGACGATAAGCCATACAATAATCCGAAAAAAATTTTATTATTGAGATTATGAATAAACCAAACTAGATAACCAGTAAAAACTAAAAAGAACTGGATAGGTATTTTATCCTATTACAAGTTGATGATGGATAGGCCAACGTAATTCCAGAAATAATACGGTTATGTGGCTTAAACTTGAAGATTTTATAATATCAGACGGGGTTTTGTGGAGATTTTAGTAATTTAATAGATGAGATCATAAGTCAATTGAAGCTAGACCACCATGAAAAACCTGGAAGCACTGGAAAGCCAACTCATCCTATTGTGAGACTCCTCAGCAATGAGCATCTACGATCCGGTCTCAAGAGTTTTTAACCCACGACCTATTGATCTCGCGCACGAATGATTAGCCGGCCGGTATCCAATGGCGTTAATGTCTAACTTCAAGTAATCCACGAAATTGAGCGACATATACAGCATTGTCTTCAGTGAGTTACTATTTGACAACATACCCAGTTGAACTCCACTGATCACTGCTTCTCACTAGAACTCCGGGAAATACCTAATGGGGATAGTCATTAGTGAGTGTACTTGACTGATTAGTACAAAATGCTTACATTGCAGAAATATTCAATCCGTATGTAAAGATAAGTTTATGTCAAATGTATAGAACAAAGTAATGTATTCAAAATATACAATGTACAAATGTCTCGCACGCGAGACTGATTGATCCTGAGTTTGAATCTCGCGAGGTGGGATCGTGGATATGCACTACTGAAGAGTCCCATACCAGGACTAAACGGACATCCAATGCTTCCAGGTTCTATGGTGGTCTACCTTCAACTGACTCATGAATTCAACTACTAAATGCGTAAACAGTCAAAAACTCTACTGAAACACCAAGGTGTAGAAAATAAGATTCAAATAAGTGTAAATTCTTCTCATACCGTTTGTTAAATATAAAAAGTTTTCTTTAAACCTTACATATTACATTTTTATAAAATATAGACCAAAGGAATGATTTAAATCAGATTAGACAAGAGAAGATCATGAACAAGAGTATCATATATATTTTAGGAACAACATTGATGAGACTATAATATAAGGACGATCTAATCAGATTTAGGATGACGGGTGTTTGATTCACTCATCTATTTGGACAAATAGTGTCTTGGCATTTTAGCTGATGTCAGTTCATGATGAAAAACCTTCATTGTAATTCCTTACCCTTACCATCAACTGTGAATCATAATCCTTATTCTTCAGACTGTTTTATAACCCTCATTTAGCCTTAGTAAGTAGGTAGACACTCTCAAGGTTACTTTGGCATCACTCAAATATCGTCTATAATTTATAGTCTCATCATACTACTAACCTGGATCATAGGACATCTGTCTGTTAATGCACCAGACCCTCCTTGAGAAGGATCTTTGAAATATTGTTCATTAGGTGGTAAACTTTGAGTAAACCGTCCAACAGCACAAATACCAAATGCTTTTTGATGATAACATTTTAAAGTATCTGGTTCATCACAGTAGGGTTCCGTACTTTTTCCTCTAAAATAAGAAACATTCTGTTAGAGATTCATTGAAAGATTATTGACAACCAGATAACTATTTCAATAACCATTATTAAGTATAACAGATCACATAGTAACAACTGATCAAAAATATAATATACAGAAATAAAATCAATCGATCTTACGCTTGTTTCATTCGCATCATGTATGCATAACAGCTTTCCATAACAAAGCTACAACCTAAATTCTTTCCATAATACCATGCTTCAGCCAATGAATAGTCAACATCCCACCAGCTAAATGAATTGAATGGAAGAAAAAAAATGAAATAATGAAATTTATATTTTTCATACATTCAGAATAATTGATAACCAAAAAAAAATTAGACAACCAAATCTCAAAGACCTTAAACAAGCTAGTCAAAGCAGGAGAAATAACAAAACAAGAACAATGGAGAATGAAATCCAACGGACCAGTACTTCCTCGATTCTACGGCAGACCCAAAATACACAAACCAAACATCCCACTACGTCCAATTGTAGCACTCCCCGGAACACCAACGTACAATTTGTCAAAAGAAATTTCAAGAATACTGAGACATTTAGTAAATTCAGCCAACCACTCAATCAAATCCCCTACACAATTCCTGGACCAAATTAAGGACATCCAAATCAACAACGACGAACTGATGATATCCTTCGACGTGACAGCACTATTCACCTCAATTGAACCAAAATTAGCAAAAGAAACTATATCCCTGCTGCTCAACAACGACACAAACCTCACCAAATACACGAAGCTTCAAATTCAAAGTCTACAGGAACTCATCAATTTATGCCTAACAACATACTTTCAATTCAACAACAAAATCTACGAACAAACGAAAGGGACACCAATGGGATCACCAATATCAGGATTGATCGCAGAGGCAGTGATGCAAAGACTAGAAGCCGCTATATTACCAGTGATCAAACCAAAAATTTGGATTCGCTATGTAGACGACACCTTCGTCATCGTCAAAAAGAATGAACTAGAAAACACTTACAACCTGATCAACAACGTCTTCGATGACATCAAGTTCACCATGGAACAGGAGTCAAACAACCAACTAGCATTCTTGGATATATTGATCACTAGAACCGACACAGGAAAACTGGAAACTCAGGTATATAGGAAACCGACCCATACGGATCAAATTCTCAACTACAATAGCAACAACCCCAGAGCTCACAAAATCAACTGCGTACACAATTTGTTCAAGAGGGCGAGGACACACTGCAGCACACTGGCAGCACGAAGAAATGAAGAGGAATACCTAAAGGATGTATTTCAGAAGAACGGCTACCCAATCAACTTCATCAAAAAATACCAACCGCACGCAGCATTAGAACTCAAGTCAAGCACAAAAATCAACAAAAGGATCACCCTACCATATATACAAGGAATATCAGAAACCGAGACGAGACTGCTGAAAACCTTCGGAATAGGTGTGGCACACAAACCGACAAAATCACTACAATCAATCTTATGCAAACCAAAAGATGAAATAACAAAGGAAAACAAATCAAACATCATCTACAAAATAAATTGTGCCAACTGCGAAAAACACTACATCGGACAAAGCGGACGCCCCCTTCACCTTCGCCTACATGAACATCAATTAGCAGTCAAACGGCATGATATCTCTTCACTTATATCAATACACGTGGACAACTGCGGACACTCATTCGATTGGAAAAATGTGGAAATCTTAGACAGAGGAAACTCCAAAAACACCAGAGAATTTTTAGAAGCCTGGCACTCAGGTCAATCAGCAATCAACAAGCATATTGAAATCAATCCAATTTATCAACCAATCAGAAAAATCATGCACAAACATAAGAACAAAAATCAAAACAATGGGAGACACAACCAAAACAAAGAAGTAAACAACGACAAATTTAAGGTCAATAAGAACCAATCAACGTCGAGGTGCACAGAACAAGCTTTGAGACACATATGGAGAAATTCAAACACTTCACTTCTATCTGAAGTTTGTGCTGATGATGTCGTTCAGAAGAACGATGAAAGCTCCACGACCAAACCATCCAGCTCAGAGAACAAAACCCCACCAAAATCATCCACCTGAGCTACAAATCTTCTCCACCATCTCAAATTGATAACCACTTTCTAATTGGATCATAGTTTCTATAGTTATAGTTATATAATTTACATTGGTTTTCAAAAGAACCAGACACTATCCAGACTTTCATGTGACAACCCAAACAGTATACCTCAATCCTGTTTAACAGGAGAGCCAGACACTGCCCAGGCTTAATCATAGTTTCTATATCATACTAAAAAAGCTATTGGTCTCAAAAATTCATACAATTATCTATTGTATTCTCAGGAGAACATTTCCACGGTGTGGGCAACCGGGAAATGATAAATGTTCTCATACCTCTAACAGCATTCAAGATCACTCTGTATTCATGTTCCAATTCAGTAATTACTCCATGAATCCAAGTATTCTATGACCTGTTTCAATTATGCGTTTGCCAATAGAGGATGATAAATGTTTATCCTCTATTCTTATTCGGTCATTTGATTTATTTGTTTCTGCAAGCATTTAGGTACATGTCCACACACTCTGATTTTGAGATCACGATTACTCCTCCTCCCTGTGGATATTTGGCCATACACACATTGATTTAGATTGTTCAGATTGTTCGAGATGTATTGCGCTAAAATATCATCACATAGTTCTGATAAACTTCATCTTATACATTGCACAATCGAAATATATCAAAGGGACTGATTGCTTTAAATAATTTTTCTGTAGAATATTACACAGCTACAGTAATATTGAAATGAATACAAGTAGATCAAGCAATTTATGAAATTAAATGAAATGTTATCAGTTACTGAAACAGTAAAATCCATAACCCATATATTAGAATTCACTTTGTATAGTTTACTTGAATCTTCCGCGTTAATGTTGAGGACTGTAATTGATCAGTCTCTTATTGGCATATGTGCATACTGTGTTTATTGCCTTAAGTCACAAGTATTCTAAGCAAGTATGAATAGTGGCTAGCAGTGGAATTCAGGACGCGCATTTCGTCTTATTTGGGACTCATCAGCTGGATGTACCTGCATCTCAGAGTTCCCATGTCACTCTGAGACTCGAAACCGGTACCGATAAATTGCAGTCCTAACCATCAATAGGAAGATTCAAGTAAAAAAATAACAAGGTAATTCAAACATCACCTCATGTACAAACAAGTGGCTATCAGGAATCAGTAGCTAAGTGGATAACGCGATGGCGTTTGGAGCGAACAGTACTGGCCTCGAGTCACAGAGTGGACATCAACTAGGAGATGCATTTACATCCAGCTAACGAGTCCCAAATAGGGCGAAACGCGATTCCTGGTTTCGACTACTAGCCACTATTTATCTTTGCTCAGAACCCTTATATTAGTTTATGAAAAGTATAATCAAGTTCAAAATCCAGATAAAATAAGCATGATCATCAAAAAAAGCAGATGAAATATTAGATAATACATTGTTTTCTGAATTGTATTAATTTACCCAGAGTCTGTGAAGAATGCCAATGTAAGCCTTGACATTACAGTTTTCACTCCAGTAACACCTGCCATTGTTTCATCCTACAATATATACAACATATACATACTATTTATATATTATAAGTAGTAAATTAACTCAGTGTATGATTGTCTGATACCCTTTACTTTAATCCTAATGATTTTATGAGATCATAACATTGAATTTATGATTAATATTCCTGAACAGTTAACACTAGATAGTCTCAGAGAAATAAAGGACGCCATATCATTACTTATTGATTACTGTAAATGAATCAACTTTATCATATTTTGAAGAAGGTAATGTAATAAGTTGATTACTTACTAACTTACTTACGCCTGCTAGCCCTCATAAAGAAGCATAGTTTGCCCACCACGATCTTACATCGAACTCAGTTCTCGCCAATGATTTTCATCTGTTTCCAACCGCTATTTGTTCTTCTGATGTCTGCTTACCATTCCAGATGCAGTGTGTTCTTTGGCCTCCCAAGTTTTCGTCTCCCTTTAGGATTCTTAGTCACCGCTTGCCTCGTGATATAGTTTGATGAGTTCCGAAATGTATATCCTAACCGCCCCCAGCGAATTTTCTTTATTTCTTCTTCAGATGAAAGCTGGTTTGTTTTTTCCCATAGTAAGTTGTTGCTGATGGTATCTGGTAAACAAACAATCAGTATGTTGTCTAGACAATTATTTATAAATATCTATACCTCTTTCATGATCGTTGTAGTAGTTTTGGAAGTTTCAGCTCCAAAAAGTAGAACTATCTACACATTCGTATTGAAGATTCTAACTCTGATGCTGACTGACAATCATTTTGAGTGCCTTACTTTTATCAGTTGTAAGAATCCTGATCTTACTTTGTCAATTCTGGCCTTCACATTTGCATCAGATCCTCCTTGTTCACCGATGATGCTGTTCAGGTGGGTAAAAGTTTTCACCTGTTCTAGAGTTTTTCAATCAAATATGATTGAATTGTGTTATATGTTGAGGCCTACTGCTGTAGAGAAGGTCACTGTATTGATTGTCTTGACCTGCATTTGTTGTTGTGTATGGTATAAAAGAGCTAAGTCATCTGCGGAGTCCAAATTGTCTAGTTATGCTACATTAGATTAATCGATTCCATACATAACACATATTGGTCAGTCGAATAAGTCTTATCAATAAAATTAAAACTGTTCATGTAGACAATATCATAAACGAATTGTGACTGACGAATCTATTTTACCGAGAAATTTACTTTTCGTTAAAAATTAAATTAAATTTAACTTACACCAACTACTCTCTTTTCGAAGTGTGTACCAACTGTTCCTTGTCCACCTTCGTTCTCTATGTCAACTCCATCCAAATTAGGACAGTTAAAGTGTTTGCGTGCTTCCTCCTGTATTAAAAATATATAAATCCTGATTTGAAAACACTTCTTCCTTATATCATATAATATCTCAATAACTGATGTATCTTTCATTCAAGTGAATTTTTCATGACATATTCATGATTTTAACTGTATGGTGTGACAAAAATAGTTGCCTAACATAGAAGGTTATTGTTTCAAATTTGTGATAGAATGGAAATATAGAATGTCCTCAATAATCCTTGTTGATAAAATGTATCTATCATCAAGTAATTTGATAGTATCTTATACTTAAATGTGGGATAATTCTAGATTGGTATCATCAAGGTTCATATTTCAATCAGACCTTCTCAAACTTAGTAATTAGTCCTCAGTTTAACCGTAGTTAGAATACATCGGGATTTTGCCGAACAATGTAAACAGGTCAAGTTTCTAATAATAAATAGCTGAGAAACTGAAGTAAAGCATGAAAGTGATATAAGATTCGAATGAATGTATGTAGACAGAACTTACGAGCATAGCTGGTGTAACAAAAGATAAGAAAGACTTTGAAAATTTCCCGGCAGCTGTAACCCATGGACGGTTGATTGTTCTGATTGTATTTTCACTGAAAAAATAATATAAAATATAGATAGTAGGAACCTGATTTTAAAACAAAAATTTGTGAAAATAAGAGATTATAGTATGATAATTGAAGCAGATCTATCAGTTATTATTATTATTATCGGTTTTGATAACTATATTTATCATTCAGTATCTTAGGTTTTACTGAATTCATTTATACTCGGTTTTATGCTGACTGTCTTATTCGATATATGTCTGACCGATTACCACGACGCGCAATGATGACTAGTGTTGTGGATGGTTAGAAGAAAGTTAGGGGTGGCCAAATCAAAATGTGGCACCAATCCTTGAAGTCACTAACTTCTAGTCTGAGCCATGTTGGTGGATGCAAACTACTCGGTTTTGGTCCGCGTGATTATCGTAACCAATGTTTGGAGACTCTGTGTGACATTGCTCAAAATCGATCAGAATGGCATAGGTGTATACACTCTCTGTCTTCCCTTAAACTCTGAGATTAAAATCGGCTCATATCTTTCTTTCTACCAACCAATTCTTTCTTCCTGTACTATGTCCTTATACGCAATCTTATTTTTTATATATAACCACCACTGAATTAACCACTTCTATGAATTCGGTGTTCATCTTATTGTGCTAATGATGTATGGCAACTTGAACCGATGCATATATGTGCCTCGTCCTACGTTGTAGCGGATTGACTGACTGATATGGTTGATTGACCTACTTAATGAAAATCAACTAAGTAGAATTAGATCAATTTTTTATGTTTACTACAGATTGACTTCAGTAGCATACTTCCAGAAATTATCTGACGTTCTTATTTTTGATATGTTGGAAATGAATTACATGCAATACAAGTGATGAAAGAAGAATATTTACTTCATTCTTTAAAAAAGTAACCTAATCTCAATATATAATCAATTCTTCATTCATATATTAATCTTTTATATGATTGGGATCTTCAAACGATTAAATTGTTATCAATAAACCATTGCATTGAAAGTACTAAATCAATTCCTGAAGTATAACATAAAGTTCACGTAAAATACTTTGGATTCATTGGAGAGACACTATCAGCAACAACCTACTGTAGGAGAGAACATACCAGAATCCAGTGGAGGAAGAAATCAGGAAGAATCGCTGGAAGTTGATAAGACACAAATTTCCAAATAATTCATATCATACTACGAATATGAAATTAACTCCGCCTGGAGTCCCTCCCGGAGCTGCTGTCGGTCCCAAGCCCGGATAAAGGAGGAGGGTTGGGCATGGGGTTAGCGACCCCATCCTGTAGAAAACGAACTCGCTAGAAAACGCTAACCAGAAAAAATCATTCAGACCTTTTAAGTACGAATATGAAATTATAGTCAATAAAAAACATATATATATATCACCTTGCATCATATTGTCTTTGATTATTTAAAGGTGGCCTCCCTGATCTAGGATCTCTTGGTGTTCTTGGTTTACCATCCAGATCACGCATCAATGCAAAATTTGATTTTACAAACCCTGTAATGTGTTAAGATTATTCATTTTAATAAGAATACAGTCAGTTGAAGAACAAAGTATCATTATTATTGAAAAACAGCTATTTAGACTATGGTATTTCTTATGTTCCAATGAATCAATGTATAAATGAATCAAATTCAAGTCAGATTTACAAATGTGATTATGTTAGACATTTCTGATAATGATTTGTCGTTATTCTAACTTAGAAGATGTTCCTATATAAATTACATTATAATATTTGTAAGTTTGTTTTTATGGGATGATTTATACTACTTTATCTTATTGCAATGTATTCACTTTCTCCACATAATCTACAATAATATAGTAGATGATGACTCAATTTCCTGGATTGGTTGAAGTTAGACGTTAACACCGTTGGATGTTGGTCGGCTCAGTCGTTTAGAGGTTAAGCGTTCGTACGCGAGACCGATAGATCTTAAGCTCGAGTCCCAAGGGGTGAAATCATGGATGCGCATTGCGAGGAGTCCCATACTAGAACAAAACGGTCGTCTAGTGCATTCAGGTTTCCATAGTGGTCTAGCTTTAATTGACTCATTAATTCAACTATTAAATTAATAATTATTGGATTGGAAAGCCCAGCTGAACGATGGATTATGTATAGCTAAAGCAAGTTCTGTAGAAGCTTGTTTCAAAATCATCCATATCATAGTCGGCTAAAGAAGCATTAAGATGAAAAACTTATGTGTAGTAGAGGTTATTACTAATCACTAGTTCAAGAGTAATCATTGCCTTAGAAAGGAACAGTATGTTCAATCTTTCATTCTTCCATAGTCTTCCACAGTCTTAACATTCCTTCCTTTTTCCATAATCCATAGGGTTTTTTTTTATCTCTTTCCAACTACTTTCATAACCATTAATTAACCAACTATAACAACAACTTTTTATTATTTTCTTCTTGATGACTACCATATGAACGATTATCTCCAAATTAGCCAGTTATTACATAATTTCCTTTGAATACTCTGATATATTATCAACCATTCATAACAAGATACCATTACAAATTTCCCTTTAATTATTCATCACTATTCTGTTTTAATATAGACTATCATTTTAAGGAGTAAAGTTAACGATAATAGGGGGGTTTTGTGGATATTATGGTAATTTTCGTAGTTTAGATCATTAGCCAAGTGAAGTTAGAACACCACGAAAAACGTGGAAGTACTGAACAGCCAACTTGTCTGATTGTGGGACTCCTCAACAGTGCACATCCACGATCCGCTCGCGGGATTCGAACCCAGGGTCTTCGGTCTCGCGTGCGAACGCTCAATCTCATACTGATAATCATTTCCTTTAATGATTGAGAAATTACGAAATTAACATCATTTTAGATCAGTTACAATCTACTCAATGCTTAATTTATTTTAAACTATCGAGTCTTAACTTTATTAAATTAAAACTTCAACTCGACAAATATCTTCATGTCTAATCTATATTTATCAATAGTATAATGACTTACCAAAGCATGACCTAGTTCATGTATAGCTGTGCCAACTAACATTGTTTTCCCTGGTTCTTGAATTTCCATTTTTTGCGGACAGAAATTGATTGAACCCATAATCGGTCTAGAATTTAAACACAAAAAATATGCAAATACATTTATATGTAATATGTTGTATGAACTAGTTCATGATAAAAGCTGCAGTTTTTATTTGGTAGTTGACAAGACACAGATAGTGAAGAAAACAGCTAAGGCCGGCCAGATCAAAATATAGCACAAATCCAAGAATTCAATGACAAGTGGACTGAACCATGTTAGCAGGTGTAGACTACCTGGTTATGGGGATCCGCGAGACGATGGCAACCGATGGTTAGAGACCTTGAATGACATGACTCAAGATCTTTTGCAATAGAGCAGGTGTATCCACTCTTTGTGTTCTCTCAAATTCTAATCTTCTGAATTCTTCATGTCCCCATTTTTCTCCTCTTTCCAAATTTATTTCACTGAATTATACTCCTTGAATAACATCTTCAAACCTAATCTTTCCGATTGCTGCTTATACTTTTACTACGTCTACCACTAAGGGATTTGAATCAACAATTGCATTACTGTGCTAATGTGGTATACCAACTTGAAATCATGTACGCACGTACGAAGTTACATGTTGTTGTTGACTGACTGACTGGGTCTCACATTTGAACAAGTATACGATACTAGTTTGTATATATAAGTATATATGATTGTTAAGAGTGATCAGCTAATCTTGGAACCTTCAACTCACTAGTAAAAAAACTAATAGTAGACATTAACACCATTAGATGCCGGCTCAGTGGTCCAGTTCGTTAAGTGTTTGCGCGCGAGGCTGAAGGCGCTGGGCTCGAGTCCGCGAGCGGGATCGTGGGTGCGCACCACTGAGGAGTCCCACAATAAGACGAGACGGCCATCCAGTGCTTCCAGATTTCTGATGGTGGTCTAACATCAATCGGTTCATGATTTCAATCAAAAACTTAACAATCTCCACAACTCTTAAACTGATAATAATAGATATATTTGATTTAAAACAAATGTGATATTATTATTTCAGTGTACTAAGCAATAGTTGTAACAATGAATACTCGTATTGAATGAATCATCATATTTTTCATTCAAATCAAAAATTACATTACAATTATTTATGGATGCGCACTGCTGAAGAGTCCCACAATAGGAAGAAACGACCGTGTAATGCTTTCAAGTTTTCCATGGTGATCTAGCTTTGATCAGCCCTTTAAAATTACTAAAATATCCACAAAAACTCCTTTCTTAAATTATTTATGCTTTAATAGTTATTCATATGTAAATTATTAATATTTGGAACTTATTACGGCGAGACTATAATTTATGGACGAACCAATCTGGTATAAGATAAAAGGTCATAGATTTTGGCGCGAAATTCACTCATGCATTTGTTTAAATAGAGTTTTGGCATTATAGCTGAAGACAGTTCGTGATGAAAATCCTAAATCTAATTTGTAACCAAAAACCATCAACTGTAAATCATAATTGTAATTCCTCACACGGGTTTATAACCTTCGTTTGATCCTAGTTATTAGGTGGACACTCTCGAAGTTACTTTGGTGTCGCTCAAAGGTCGTCCATAAATTATAGTCTCACCTAAATCTCTACCGAGACTGCTTAGTTTTTGATGATCAGATTTATTGAGGAACACAGTATACTTTTACACTAATGAATAACACTTTTTTTAAAAGACTTCATATTATAAACCATACATTTTCTTACCTATCAGTTGTAGGATGCATTTCACAAGGACCAGCATAAGCTAATGTTGATCCAGATAGACAACCTTGTTTATTTTCACTTTCAACAAAAAGAACATATTCATTTGGTGCGAATCCTGGACCATCTTGATAAACATCTCTTATATTGTCACCTCCACTTCCCACAGCACATCCCTGTTATTTAAAATAGAGAGAAAAACATTCGAAATGTTTATAAGATATCTCTTATAAAAATTACACACATGCTTACTAGATTGGATACTTTGAAAGTAATTAACAATAGAAAATAGAAAATCTTCTTATTTCATTCTATTTTGATGTCACTGTTCATGATATGAGATTACGTACTTACTTATTTATGCTTGTTAATCCCCGCCCCTTGATGCCCTTGTAAGGCCGGGAGTGGGGAGAGTCAGCTCTCCCTCTCCAAATGCTCCCACATGGCTACGTGCATACAACCATAACCAAGGAAGCCCTGCTCATCACCTTCTCGTGACACAGGTGTTGTTTACGAAATTGAGAGGACGAAAAGTGAATGTACGGCTCTTTAACCGCGTTAATGAATATCGAGGTCCACCTAGTAGAGTTGGAAAACCCTGATTTCAAACCAATAGTGCACATGGGATCCAGGATCCTGAGGAAACGAATGGCGTATAGACCAATTATTGGTTATCGACTACTATGTGACTCCAACTCCTTACGTTGTTTACGTTGCGCATATCTATTTGATGCTTCCTTGTACCAATGTTAATGTGTTTATATAAACAAATCTGTTAATCCCAGTAGAGTATAGGCTGATATGAAATTCATGTACCGATTTAAATGTGAAATTCGCATATATGGTTATAATTGGTATGAACTAAACTTACGGAAGAGTATTGATCTGGAACTGGATGATCATAGCATAGAGCTTGTTTTTTACATTGTGATTTACAGAACTTTTTACCTGTTCTACCATCTGTGTAAAAGACTGGTTCAGCGCATCCTCTGTAAAATAATAATCAATACATATTTTGTAAAATAATCAGTAAGCATAGTAAAAAGGTCTATATTTATTATAATTGTCAAGAAAGAAAGTGTTATAACTTGTGCGTTTGTGCCCCTATCAGTGTATAACGTAATGATACTGCCAATTAGATAACAGTGAATTGTCGATCAGACCAATCAAGCATAAAACCTTTACGAATAGTCTAGAGTCCTTATCGGTCCTGCTTCCCGCCTAGCCCTGTCTTTTACGTCCAGAACACCAATCTCAGCCTCTTCGATATGAATCATGTATTTCAAACATACTGGATTTATATACAAATCAAACATACCACTTTGTACCATAAAATATGAAACAACATTTGTAGAAGATTTAGCCAAATGTAGTTGTGAATGTGGAAGATCGGATTATGAAACTTCAGCTCGAAATTGTTTTAAAGTGGATACTGTAATAGTGTTATTAATAGGTTTATTTTATGTACAATAAAATTTGAAGTTAACTTGCTTAGTATTATTAAAATCATTGCCACTTGTGATATAAATACAGTTTTAGTTTCTGTATACAGTGCGATAGAGAGGATGTGTTTTACTATAACTTACAGAAAATTTATAACATTAAATGTAAGTATCTATATTTCAACGCAGAATACTTCTGAATGCGATTAGTGTCAGTGGTCAAGAGGTTAAGTGTTCGCGCCCGAGACTGCCAGGTCCTGAATTCGAATCTCGTGAGGCAGGATCGTGGATGCGTACTGCTGAAGAGTCCCATATTGGAACGAAACGGCCGTCCAGTGCTTCCAGATTTCCCATGGTGGTTTAGCTTCAATCGGACTACGCCTGGAGCCCCTCTGAGGTTACTGCAGATCCCAAGCCCGGATAAAGTAGGAGGATTGGGTATAGGGTTAGCAACACCATTTCGTAGAAAAATAACTGGCTAAAAAACACTAACCAAATAAAATAATTTAAAACGTTTAACATCTACCCTGGGAGTTAGGAGGGTTATGACTCCTCGTGATGCAAGCCGAGTTCCTTCTGAAATCACGAGGCTGGTGGCCCTTCTGACAACCAGATCAACCATTCACTTAGGCACATGGAATGTTCGTAGAATGTGAAAGACCAGGAAAGTCATCCAAGGTGCTACAGAAGTGAGGAGTTACGACCTGGAGGTGCTTGGAATTAGGGAAACACATTGCACGGAGATTGGACAACAGCGTCTAGCTTCAGAGGAGCTGCTGTTATACTCCGGCCATCAAAAAGAAAATGCTCTACATACACAAGGAGTTGTACTGATGCTTTGCTATGCTAGCTTTAATTGACTAATGAATTCAACTATTAAATTACAAGTAGGTTTGTTAATATTGTTAACGTCAATGCAGAACTATCAATATTACCTCTAATACCATTCCAAAATATCGATTAAAGTTTACTGCATGTATATAAATAGATGTTTTATTGAACAAATAATCTTAACTTCATTTGGTGTTGTTTATTTGTACCTTCCCATTGTTATTTAGGACTGAAATTGATCAGTCTTATGTTGGCATACGTGCATCGTTTGCGAATTGCCTCGATATTGCCTTAAGTCGCATACTTTATAAGTAATGATGGATAGCGGCTAGCAGTGAAATCCAAGACTCATGTTTCGTCTTATTTGGGACTGGTCAGCTAGATGTACCTGAATCCCATAGTTGATATCCACTCCGGGACACGAACCCATAGTACCGCTCGCCTCAAACGCTATCGCATTATCCACTTAGCTACTAAGTCTTAATAGCCTTATTTATGTGGAACACTGGCTACAACTAATGAAAAGATATTGGTTTAAAAAGTTTATTATTGGGAAATTAATAACAATAAGATGTCATTAACAATCTATTTACCTTTCAATGAGCAATTTTCTATTTGGTGGTTTTCTAACGCTTAATGTTCTTTGCCAAAAATTAAGGGCTTTCTCTACTATTTGAGTCTAAACGAATGCAGAAAATTATTAAAGATAATGAAAGAGTTAATGTATTTTCACTACAGATATGCTTCTTTAACGTAATCTATCAGTATAACGTGATGAAAATTACTGCGGAAAAGATAACTTCTAAGTTATCCAAAAACCGGCAGGTGATCGTGATAGATGGTCAATTAACATTGTAGATACAACGCAAAGTATATTCATTGATTATTCTTTGTAAACAGTGGAAAAATGTGATCCGATGATCCCTCACATTAATTAACTAAAACTTACCAAATATGTTGACTAAGTTTTATAAAATGCTTCTCAATACCGATTCAACAGATGCAACATTCAATTAGAGTCTCAAAATTAGTTTCTAAATATATGAATTAGGTCCTGTGTTCGAATATCGTGAGGCGGGATCGTGTGTACTCACTGCTGAAGAGTCCCATACTAGAATGAAACGGCTGTCAAGTGCGTCCAGGTTTTCCATAGTGATCTAGTTTCAATTGGATCACAAATTCGACTATTAAATTACATTTTATTGATGATTACTACAGATAGCTAACAGAAATTTACATTTTCGTGAATAATAATTGACTGTTGAATTTTTCGATACACTACATGGTCAATTTACATACCAAAACAATTGTTAACCAACACCAAGGTCGGGATTTTCAATACAAATGTCAAGACAGTTCTACTGTATGGGGCAGAAACCTGGAGAACTACGAAATCCATCATCCAGAAAATACAGGTTGACTACGCAAAATACTTTGGATTCGTTGATCAATCACTATCAACAACAACCTACTGTGGGAGAGAACAAACCACATTCCAGCGGAAGAATAAATCAAGAAGGATCACTGGAAGTGAATAGGACATACATTGAGGAAAACACTCAACTGCGTCACAAGGTAAGCCCTCACTTGGAATCCTCATAGCCAAAGGAGAAGACGAAGACCAAGAAGCACATTACACCGAGAAATGAAGAGATATATAAGAAGAATGAACAACAATTGGATAGAAGTAGAAAGGAAGGTTTAAGACAGAGGGGATTGGCAAATCGTGTTCGTCGGCCTATGCTCTACTGGAAGTAACAAGGGTTAGTATGTAAGTACTTAACCATGACTCAATGTAAACTAATTTAAAGCAAGTATGACAATGAGCATATAATACATTATATAATTTAAAAAAACAATAGGAAACTAAAACTAATCAATGATACCTTGAATTGTTGAAACAGAGGATGCCTTTCCATACTTGGCCTATAGATAACAATAAATTTTAATTGATTGCCCCCGTATTGACGTTTATCAATTGGTTCACCTAAGATACCGAAATTCTACAAAAAAAAATTTAAAAAAAAAAACTTTTCTGCAATAATTTTGGCAAGACTAAAATTTATGGATGAACCAATCAAATATAAGATAATGAGTGACGAATTCAGGTGCGAAATTCATTCATACACATTTGACAAAATAGAGTTTTGGCATGATAGCTGATGTTAGTTTGTGATGAAACCACAATCTAATTTTTAATCCTAATCATCAACTGTAAATGAGAATTCTAACTGTTTTATAACCCTCATTTAATCCTTATAAGTAGATGTTCACTCTCAAGGTTACTTCAGTGTCGTTAAAACGTCATCCATAAATGATAGTCTCATCATAATTTTTTTTCGAATACTTACCATTGTAATATTTGGCATAATTTGACAAACATATTCAGAATATGTAAAACCTAATAAGGTAATCAAACATAGAAATGATAAATAGGATATCATTTTATTGAATAGAGTATTAGTCTATGATATTAGCAGTAGTAGTCGTAGTAGAGGTAGCAGTAGTGGTAGCCGGAGTAGTAGTCGTAGTAGAGGTAGCAGTAGTAGTAGTCGAAGTAGTCGTAGTTTAGCCATCATTACTTACTTCATTTATATACTCAAAAGTATGAATGATGTAATTAATTAGTTAATTACATCATTGGTTTATCATTTTAACACTTGAAAATCTTGTGATTCCCGGTCAAATTATCTTGAGAGTTTAGTACTTTTATTCATAATAATAACAACAACAACGATGAAAATAATGAAACTTATTTTTGGAAAAATAATGGAAATTTTCTTTTTCGTATAAGTTTTATTATGCCAACTTTTGGACTCATGTGATTTGAATGATTAAGATTTTATCGAATAGATAATCTTATGTAGATATATCATCAAAAGGGGACGAGGAATGGGGCGGTTGTTTAGATTTTAGTCAATTGAAAATCTGGAAGCACTGGATGGCCAACTCATCTTAGTATGGGACTCCTCAACAGTACGCATCGACGATCACGCATCGCAAGATTCCAAATCACGACCTATTGGTCTAGCGCTCGAATGTTTAACCACCAGACCACTGATCCGACCGGAATTCAATGTTATTAATGTCTAACTTCAACTAATTCACGAAATTGATCGACACATCTACCATTGCTTTTAGTATGTTACTATATCACAACAGACCCGTTTGAACTTCACTGATCAGTACTTTTCACTAGAACTCCAGGAAATACCTCTTGATGCCAGTCACTGATGAGCATATGCTGAATAATATCAGAAGGGGTTTGTTGTGGATAATATAAATATTTCAATAGTTGAGATTATGGGTCAATTGAAGCCAGAAATCTGGAAGCATTGGATGGCCGTTCCGTCCTTATTGTGGGACTCCTCAGCAGTGCATAACCATATATCAGTGGGATTTAACTTATTAACATCTGAAGTACTCCTGAACTTCTGTTACAATGAATAGCTATCAAGATATAAACACTAACTAGTCTTTAGTTATTATCAAAAGGTAGAAATAAAACGATTTGAAAAATAAATGCGTTCAAATTTATATTCTCATTGACTAATAAACTGAAATAGTTATTTTTAGAAATTTTAATTGTTTACGACTGTTACTCCTAGTAGACCGCTGACCAGCCTTCTCCAATCTACTCTGTCCTGCACCCTTTTTGTTCATTCTTCTCATGTCTGTCTTCATTTCTCGGTATATTTTTTTCTTTGGTATTCCTAGCCTCGTTTGACCTTGAGGATTCCATGTGAGGGCTTGTCTTTTAACGCAGTTGGGTGATTTCCTCATTGTGTGTCCTATCCGCTTCCAGATTTCTTCTTCGACTGGTAACTGGTTGGTTCTCTCCCACAGTAGGTTGTTGTTGATAGTGTTTGGTCGACAGATCCGAAGTATTTTGCGTAGACAATTGTTAATAAACACTTGTATCTTCTGGATGATGGCTGTCGCAGTAGAGCTGTCTATACATTTTTATTGAAAATTCTGACTTTGGTGTTGGTTGATAGTTGTTCTGAGTTCTAGATGTTTTCGATTGTAGGTATACTGCTCTTGATTTGTTGATCCTTGCCTGCACATCTACATCAGATCCACCTTGTTCATCAATGATGTTGCTCAGATATGTAAAGGTTGTTAACATCCTCCAAAGCCTCTCCGTCAAGTGTGAATTGATTGGTGCATGTTGTGTTGTGCCGCAGAATCTTGCTTTACCTTTTACTTATGATGAAGCCCTTAGGTGTTGACATTTTCATAATCTGTAGCGTGGCGTCGAGTTGTGATTAACTATGAACACCGCTACCAAGAAACACGTGCCAAATAGATCAGAAGGCGTAAGAAGCTCGTTCCAAATGACTCCATAAAATCCCCGAGAAGCCGAATACCAGAAGGCAATTAATGGACCAAGTCGAGTTATATTTGCTGGCGATCTCGTGGCATCGAAAGGATACCGAGATCGTGCCAGGATACAACCTTGGTTACAGAAGGTAACCGAATTCGCGCGAAGTTACAATCGAAGTGTAAGTATAAGAATGGAAGCACAAAATAGCTGTCATTAGCACAGTCAAACAAAAGCACGTTAAAACAAACACTGGTACAGTTGGTTATAATAATAATTGTTTTTATTAAACCAGTCGTGTTCTCGTGATAAACGTGAGTCACTACAGGAGCCCCCCGCTAGAAAGGGTTTACACTTTCGATAAATAGCGGTTTGAATCGTGGGACTGATCGGCTGACGAGCGATTGTAGGACGGAAGAATTGGCGAACAGGAAAGCGATCGTTGATCGTCGAGTTGCCAACGAAGGTCGTTTTCGGAGAACGGTACCAGGAGCGATGTGTTGTATTTATTGCTTGAGTTGGCATGCTACACCAGAGTGGTTTGTATCCAGAATCTGAAGAGGGCGTTCGTAGGGTGCGCACCAGAAACGCTGCAGACGTAGGACGAAACCACGTTGAGCCAAAAGACCAGAAGCGACCATAACGACCAAGTTCGAGACCAAGCGTATGCCAAGCATTCGAAACCAATATATCGACTGAGTGCGTTGACAAGAGCATGGGTGATCAGGCCAGCTTTCGCCAAAGTTGACTGAAGTCGACGGAACCAAACGGAGATGGTCGAAGGCGTGGGCTCAGGAAACAAAAAGAAAATCAAAAAAGAGAAGAGTGTAGCATGCGTGTAGTATAGGAATAATCCTACACCGTATCGGTTGTTAACTGTGCGGCTAGTCGCGGAAGCGTACGGGTAACCGTACTCGGCGACCGGAACGTGAGACGGTAGTCTCGTTCGCGTCGCGTGAGCCTGCAATCTCATCCGAAGTCAAGGGCGGCGTGGTCTGCTGATCTGGACGTGAGACTGTCGTCTCATCCGTAGACGGTGCAGATGACGCGTGCTGTTGACTGGGACGTGAGAATGAGGTCTCAGATGTATCTAGCGTGGGACCTGAAGATGGTTTGAGGATCCCGCTAGTAGGTTTGCTAGGTCTAGCATTGAATCTCAGGTTATCAGATAGGGCACTGTCATCGACGTGTGCTGGTTTGAGACGATCAATGCTGACGATCTCGACGCGTCCATATCGATCAACCTTGAAGGTCTTTTCGTGACGAGCGATCACGTGAAAAGGGCCTTCGTAAGGTTGTTGCCAAGATTTGCGTACCGAATCTACTCGTATGAAAACATGTGAACAGGTAGATAACTCTCGAGGGAGAGCGACCTGTCGATGTTGTATTCGAGTTGACACCGGAGACAGCGTTCGCATAAATGCAGACAGTCGATGGACGTAGTCTGATTTACCGAAATTAGGTCTGCTCCGTGGTGTGAAGAATTCTCCGGGCAGACGCAATGTCGTGCCGAATACCAGTTCAGCGGCGGAACATTGTATATCTGCCTTCAAGCTCGTTGTGATCCCTAAAAGAACGAGCGGTAAGGTTTCGTGCCAGTTGCCGTTTTCGTGTGCTCGTATAGCACTTTTAAGTTGGCAGTGAAACCGTTTACTTAACCATTTGGTGCTGGGTGGTAGACAGATATGCTTATGCGTATGCATTCCGTACCAAGCAGCCGGGTCAGCGAGGAGAACAGTTAATAGGGGAAACTTTCTCGAATAAAGCGTGGAATTCATCGTCACGCGAATAAAAAGTAACAAGGATTCGGTACACATACATGTGAGTCTATTATATTAATACTATTCTTATCGTTATCCGTCATGTCGAGTATATTATATATTAAAAAATATGAAAATATACGACAGACGTGGATAGATAAATCATAGACTCACCGAATTGGCTTCTTTGGAAGATTTGATCAGAAGTTGAGGCGTGTTCCAAAATACGGGTCACCAACCAATGTAGCGTGGCGTCGAGTTGTGATTAACTATGAACACCGCTACCAAGAAACACGTGCCAGATAAATCAGAAGGCGAGGGTTGGACGTACCAAATAGATCCATAAAATCCCGAGAAGCCAAATATCAGAAGGCAGTTAATGGACCAAGTCGAGGTTTATTTGCTGGCGATCTCGTGGCATCGAAAGGATACCGAGATCGTGCCAGGATACAACCTTGGTTACAGAAGGTAACCGAATTCGCGCGAAGTTACAATCGAAGTGTAAGTATAAGAATGGAAGCACAAAATAGCTGTCATTAGCACAGTCAAACAAAAGCACGTTAAAACAAACACTGGTACAGTTGGTTATAATAATAATTGTTTTTATTAAACCAGTCGTGTTCTCGTGATAAACGTGAGTCACTACAAATCTATTCGATCACCAGGGGGAAGGGAAAGGATCAGAATAGGCAACCTTGCCTGACACCGGCCATTACTTCTAACGAGTCTGTACGATTTGCACTTTAATTATTATTACAATGGTAATGATCATGAGTCTGAAGGACAATGTTGGATGTTTTGCTCAATTTTTCCGGATTAGTTGGAGTTAGACATTAATACCGTCAAGTGCCGGCTCAGTGATCTAGTGGCTAGGTGCTCGCGTGAGGAACCAGCAGGTCCTGGATTCGAATCTCCCACAGGGCGAGGTCGTGGATGCGCACTTCTGAGGATGAAAAGGCGATCCAGTGCTCCCAGGTTTTCCATGGTGGTCTAACAGCAACTGACCTATGATCTTAACCATTGAAATTACTATAATATCCACAAAAAAACCCGTCTGATATTAATTATTATTGTAAAAAATCCTTCACAAACGTAACACTATTTGTTGTAGCTTCTTCATTTCATGAAGAGTTACATCACAACAAAACCGTTATTGTTATTTGGGAATGACAGAATCAGATGACATAGCTCCATCTTGCCATAGCTTGTTGATAGTGATCATAAAATAGGTAGAATCAAATCGTTTTGATTGGTCTGTCGTTTACTTTCGTCACTTCCTAATCGGGATTGATGTTGCATCTTAAACAGAGCAGATATTCCCAGGATCAGAAACTATAACTCTAGTTTATGTGTTCAGAAG